CCTTAGGGTTGGTAATCTTGCTTTATCTTTGATTTCTCATCACCTTGTATCGGTTCGGCTAGGTTGCTTTATTATTATAAAGCGAGGTGAAAGCCTTCTTCGATACAGAATCAGCGGGTGGTCTGGCGATGGTCTCCTATCGGACTATAGATAGAAAGTGTTTCCTTTGATTGGGGGTGGGGGCAAAATAGTTGACTAAAAATAAATTAAGGAGGCTAATTCCCACATATCCATTTTTTAGTTCCATTGTTAATTTTGGTGGGATGAAACATCTTTTCAGATTCCCACGACTAGAATTCCCACCACACACCAAACGTGAGATTGGGACTATCTTAATCCCTTACAAACTCCCATTCCCTTGCTTTCGGGCTGTCAAACACGCTGCTACTGCTAGGGCAATCACCTGGTGACCATTGTTGTACGTCTGCTTCATATCATTATATATCCCTATGATGACTAACAGCCAGGTGCTGCAAGACGAACGACCGCTACAGCCGCCACCAGCAGCACCAGGAAATAGAACTGAACGCCCAACATATAAATTGTTGTTGTTCTGTATAGCTTTGTGATGAAGTGCCCACATGCAAACCTGGCATTAGATATCCACATACTCGAGTAGCATCAAGGATAATTTACATCATGGTTGACAAACTAACACCACACTTAAGAAGTTGATATATACTTCAACAAAAGAATATAATAAACAGTTCTAGCAAATGTTAACTAAGCTTGAACGAGTGCTCCCAGGAAAGCTCTTCAAGAATCTCAATTTCAAGAGTCCATCTGATCTGTCTCGGAAAAAAAAAAGATCGAGCATGACTGCGAAGTAGAACAAGGTATGTTATATCATACAAAAATGGGATAAACTAATACATATTTAATTATTGGTGCAAACCATATCCTGATAGGGCTATCTCTAGTTTTCTTATAACACGCTAAAGAGAGAAATATTTCCTCCTCGATGCAACCACAAAACTAAAATTTCCAAGTTAGGCAAGAGACATACCTGTCAAAAGATTCTGTTCTTCCATTTCAGCATCTCCGTAGACAAATTCTTAATGGGATTCGCTCGAGCAATCATAGCATCCATGTTGGGATCAAAAAAGATCCAATCCTCTTTTAATGTGCACATCATATCAGCATGGAAGTCGCATGCACTGATACTTTCTTCATTGCAAATGCTATGGTCTCCACGAGCCATTCCAACAAAGTCCTCGTAACGCCCATAATATGATTCATGATATGGGTGAACAATTTTTTTCCCTAGAAACTCGCAGTGGAAGCAACAAACTTTCGTCCAAACAAAATTAATTATATTATCAGATTTCTCATAAAAAAAGGAAAAACACAAAGCTAAGCGCAAAAGATGGATCTAAAAGATAATGAAGAGAACCCTTTGATTTGGAAATTTAGAGTACATAGGATGCCTAGGGACACATTACTAAAAATTGCACCAGGCATACATGCCATCACTGTCGAGGATGTGGAAATATCACTGTGTTTGGGCCAGTGTTCGGAAAAGAATTGAGCAAAGCTTCATTAATTCTGATTCATTGATTTCATTGGACCAACAATTCAATGACTGGATGTAATTTTCTCGAAGGAGCCACCACATATTTTGGGTAACTATATATCTTATACAAACATATTTGGAAAATGGCATTTCTAATAATTCATGCTTCTAAAATGCCAGCTACACTAATTGTAGTTTACCAGCGTTTTAACTACAAATCTCCACAGCAACACAGGGGGCATTCTTCTAGTACATGTTCAGAACTTCAGATCGCTGAATAATTAAGGAAATGCTTAAGTGGTCTATACTTTCAGGTTTTAAATTTCTAATCTTTAAGATGCCCATCTTTAAACCTTAAGAGACTTAAAAAAACGTATGAGGCTTAATCATGCTAACTATAACTGGTTTCTGTTAGTACGCAAGGAGGGAAGCTTTGAGTACTTGGGCTATACACAATTCTGGAATATGCATGTAGTGCATAAACATAATTGCACTACAAAGTAAGGAGGTTCTTCTAATTCTCACAGGCCAAGCACTCTTGTTTTACCACTTCTATTTCAACTAACTATGCAAATCACAGAATACAAGATACCTACTGTGTGAAAGAGAGCTGAGATCATACCATCAGAGATCCAAGAACTAAATACTGGTACACACAGGGGAGGTGTTTCCTTGTCATCTTCATCATCATTGCTGCATTCAGCGAAGAACAGTACTGGATCTGTGGCAGCAGAATTTGATCCCTCGCGTGTTGCCCAAAAGTTGATGTGGGAGTATTCAAATTTGCCCTTTTTCTTAAAAAGATCAGCAGTTCCACCCTTGACCGCATGAGGATTCACGCCACAAATAACATGAAGCTCATAGTACACCTATGTAAAGCAAGGCAGGAGAAGGAAGCTAATCACTGAACAGACGTTTAAGCAAACACAAGTATAAAAACAAAGAATACAACAACATAGGTGAATGAACAAACCCCTTGTTTCTGGGAGTAGCTCTTCAACGCAGCTTTGACCTTCCTGACATAGAAATTTTGGTCAGCCTTAAATTTTTTCTGAATCTCTGAAATGAACATTTTTTGGTTTTCAGATAAGAACTCCGAGCTCGAGGCCAACTTGTCCAGTTGTTGAACCTGCTCATCTGACTTGGTAGGTGAAGATTTAGGTGACACAGACATGGCAAGTCCCTCAAATCTGCAGTTCTTGACTGCATGGGTCAGCATCGTTGACAACTCAGTCGAATTCATGTTCAGGGCTGACAGGATGAATTTCTCCAGTGCTTTAGGGAGAGGGTGCCATGAATTAACAGCTGCTTCCCTAAAGGCATTGAGGTACACATCAGACATATGATGACCATGTTGCTCTGCTATGTCGATGGCTGACCAAACATCAGCATTGCTCTTGAGCAGGAACTTGATAGCATCATGCTCAGTCAGATGGTGGAAGAGGCGACGGAGGAAGGCGATAAGGCCATAGAGGGAGCAGCACTCGATTCGCATAAGGGCATTGGTGCATATCATGTCCACCTCAAAGTCAAGCGCATACTCATGCTGCGTGGAGATTACAGAGTCATACCAGATGGTGTTGAAAATGATGTTGGAGACAGGTTCCATTAGACCATAGCAATAACCAGCCCTGAGAAGGTTGCAATGGTGATGTTTGCGCAAGCTATCCCTAGGAAACTTAGAAAGTGCATCTAGGTAGAGCAGGTGGATCTTGTCGAGAAGCAACAGCTTAAGAGACTCTGTATATCTATATGTCACAGTCACATCGATCTCTACCTTCCCATGTGCAACGCTCACCATAGATCCTGTGTCCCCATAAGGCGGCTCGACCCTCTTTCTCTTCTTCTCATTTCCATCATGGAGAGGTGAACCAGCAAGATCCCTCTTCTCCTCCTTTCCATCACGGAGACGTGACCCAGCAAGATTCAGCGGACGCCTTATGGCCATTTGATCCATAACTTTAGGCTCTCGCCTGAGCAACAGCTCCAGGCGCCTTATAGTTCGAGGGGGCAGGCGATGCACCTGCAAAAGGCTAGAGACCTTGCTCAGCCGAGACACCGCCGACAGCGACGCGTTCACCAGGATGGCTGGTTCAGGGTGCCTCGCAGAGGCAGCGGCACACTCCAGGGCAACCTTGGAGGTAGGAGATGTAATGTCGAACGCGGGCCTGTTGTGAATCTTGGCAATGCCAGACGCCGAACACGACTTGTTACGATCTTGGTTGATGAGATGCACGGCGGCGACAAGGTCGGCCCTGGCCAGGCGCAGGTAGCGCAGGGCTTCCGTCTCCGCGAGGTAGCGGAAGTGGAACAGGAGGAAGCTGACCAGACCTTCCAGCGACAGCCGCGCGATGGTCATGCCGCCCGCCATGTGTCCGGGCAGCGGTATCCGGAAAATTCTGCGATCCTGAGTGTCAGTGGAGATCTTGGAGAAGATCGACTTTCTAGTGGCCCCTTCTTGACTCTCGGTGCTGGGCAACCGCTGCGAGTAGGCGATGGTGTTGAGCATGATGTTGGAGACTGGGTCGAGGAAGCCGAAGCACACGCCGGCCTTGAGAAGGCAGGGAGCCAGCGCGGGCATCCTCTTTACAGGCAGCCGATCGAGCGCCGCCTTGTAGAAGCCGTGGATGTCGTCGAGCAGGAGGAGTATGTCCTCCTTCACGGTTTCTGGTGTAACGTTATCGACGTAGCCGTCGCCGATGTGGCGGACAGGCTTGCCATACATGTCGACGGACGGACGGACGGACGGACGGGCGCACTTGCTCTCTTCTCCGGCGCGGCGAGGGTGGATGCTTCCTGATTCGTTTGGATTTCGGTGGTGCAGGGGGGTGGGCAAGGGCGGCGATTAGAATAGGGGAGGACGAGGCCCAGAAGAAAAACCCTAATAATAAGCACAATGGGGGCATCGCACCAAATCTATACTCAGACAAGTATAATTTTGCCCCACAAATATGGTCAAGGTTTTAGTGCATGTACAATGGTTCTACCTTAACAATGCCACATAAAATAAATGATGAGGTGGAAGTGAGAGAAATCATAAGAGAAGGCTTGTCTTCTCTTATATAAGAGAAGACAAGAGATGATCTCTTAGCACAATGTGTCACCACGTTTTTATGAATAGCTAGTTATTGAAGATAAGACTAAGATATGACCCAATGTAGACATGTTTTTTTGTCATATCTAAATTACATGCAAGATTTAAAATAAGACTACCTTATCGACCATTGTACATGCCGTTAGAATTTCGGGGGTATTTGATCCAATTGACCGACCGTTCCCTGCGCTGTTACAGGGCGTCGGTGGTGGGACGGCCAGTACGACGTGGCTAGTCATGCTAATGACACTAGAATTGTTTTTCCTATTTATTTTAAGTTAAATGCATATATATTCTAAAATTTTAAAACACGAATTTAAAAGGTTAACATAGTATAAAACTTTGTTAGCCATTTTATAAAATGTTCCTGAAAATTTTAAAAATGTTCTTGTGTTTCAACAAATGTGTGTGGTTTGTCTAAAATGTGTATACAATGTAAATAATTTTTTTCGTAATGTAAAAAATAATCTGCAAGACTAAAAAATGTACATGCCATTTTATGAAAATATTCCCGCATTTCATTAAACAAATGTTCATCTCATTTAAGAAAATATTAAAATATGTTTGCATAGGTTAAAAATTTCCATTTCCACTAAAGATCGTATGCGACATTTTAAATGAATATTCAGGTATTTCTAAAGAAAGTCAAATTTGAAAAATGTTTACACGATGTAAAAAAATGTTGTGTTGTTTAATTCTTTATATTTCCAATATTAAATATATAATATGTATTTGCAAAATGTTACCATGTAATCAAAAAAGTGTTAAAACATGTATTTAAAAAAATCTGCGTCATAAATGTCTAGCGGTGTATCAGAAAAAAAAAATCTCGTGTGCTCTAAAAATGTACATTGGTTACTATGATAAAATGGAATATGTGTTAAAAAGCAATAAAAACTGACAAAGAAAGAAAGGAAAAGGAAAATATCAGAAAAACGAAGAAAGCCAATGTAGAACTATGAAAAAAACAGTGAAAATTGAAAAGGTTGAAAATAAATACAAAGAAAAACAAAAACAAATAAAATGCAGTGGGAAAATATTGAATTAAATCGGAGCAAAAAAAATTCGTCATGAGTAAAGTCCGGAGCAGAACCCAATTAATGGGTCGGCCCGCTGGTCGTTGCCCATAGGCGATTGCTAACTTTCAGCGCCGATTAGGCAACTTGGCGCCTGCAGGTTCGTTTGTTGGGCTGGTTTCGAAGTTGGCCCATTCCAGTACAAAACAGGCCGTCCAAGTCCAGCGCGTGTTGCCCAACCACTACACTAAACAGGCTCTGGTGAATAATGAGGGCGCAAACTTCTTAAGAAGTAAGCATAGCCACGCTATTTATACTACATATATAAAATAGGAAAACATGATTTTTGCAAAAAAAAAAAGTGTGATGAAAATTTTAAAGTTCACAGATTTCAAAATAAACCACGAATCAAAAAAGAGTTCACGAATTCAATGAAATTCCATCAATTTGGAAAATGTTCACAAACTTGGAAAAAGTTCATCAATTTAAAAAAATATATTCAATTTTGAAAAAAATTCATCAGTTTTGAAAAAAGTTCCTCGATTTTACAGAAAGTTCGAAAAATTTATAAAAAGTTCATCGAATTGAAAAAACAGTTCATCAATTTTCAAAATACGTTCATCATTTTTGGAAAAGTTCATTGATTTTAAAAAAAAATCATGGGTTTTGAAAAAAGTTCATAGATTTGGGGAAAAAAATCATCACACTTTAAAAAAGTTCATCGAAAAATGAAAAAACTTCAAAAAATGAAAAAGTTCATCGATTTTTACAAAAAAGTTTATCAATTTTAAAAATCAAGTTCACAAAAATGTTCATCAACTTGAAAAATAAGTTCAATACATTTAATTGTTTTCATCGATTTGAAAAATAAGGAAGAAGAAAAAAAAGATAAAAAGGAACAAAAATATATAAGTAATAAAGGAAAACGAAAGATGAACAAAGTCGGATGAGGTTGTGTGGTTGGATGGTTAGCTCGTTGCGCCTTAGTATGGGAGGTCTCGCGATTGAGTCATCCCGCACTCAATTCTTTTGCGTTTTTGGAAACAGAAGGAAAAAACTGCAGATAAATGGGCCAGCCCAGTTAACGCGGCTGCGGGCGCCGTTTAGGAAAATATCCTTTAATCGGCGCCTGCAGCGTTTTTGGAAACAGAAGGAAAGAAAAAACTACAGAATAATGGGCCAGCCCAGTTAACGCGGCTGCGGGCGCCGGTTAGGAAAATTGTCTTTAACCGGCGCCTGCAATGTTTTTGGAAACAGAAGGAAGAAAAACTACAGATAAATGGGCCAGCCCGGTTAACACGGCTGCGGACGCCGGTTAGGAAAATTGCCTTTAACAGGCGCCTGCAGCGCTGAATAGGGATACCACGTGCGACGTCTAGTTCTGATTTTCCTTTAAGGGAACGTCTAGCTCTAATGGTCGCGCCCGACGCTGACACACAGCAAACAGTTTACACGAAAATTTTAGTTCTGATCATCTGATGAATAAATTAGTTGTGACATAGCCTAAACCACCGTGAGCGGAGTTTTCCTCAGTTAGCTTCAGGCACATCTATAGGTGCGTTTGGTTTACCACCAACACGCTAGCCCTACCAAAAAAAATTGCCTCGCCCGCCAGAGTTGGCAGCCGTTTGGACTAGCGCCAAAAAAATCGGCTCGCCCAGCCCGGCCAGAGCGCCCGTGTGTTATTCTCGCCGATTCATGGGCGCGGCGAGGGCGCAGAAAACGCTCGCCAAAATAATTGGCAGCACGCTCTCGCCCGCTTGTTACGTGGGTCTTGTCAAAAGCGATTTTACGGCGGTCTCATCTGTTTGTTAAAAGCAATCAATACACCGGATTAATCGCATGGGAAGCTGCCTAATGACCGAACTGCTTTGTGGATGGATTTTTATATCGACGTGTTCGTTTGGATGGATCAATCCCGTGAAAGAGCAAGTACAATAAAATGATGTAGGTGGGTTGTAAGGCTGGTCATAGTGGAGAGTAACTTAGACTAGTAACATACATATGTTACTAGTCTATGTTACTACCTTCATAGTGGATAGTGTCATAGGTGTGGTAACATAGTTGCCTTCATTTATTACTTTGTAGACTCATTATGCATTGGAAACCGCTATGTGATGGTAACATATTATGTTACTCTATTTGCCTCTCTCCTCATTAACTACTTGCCACATCACCAATTCTGCTTATGTGGCATCTATGTTACTACCTATGTTACTCCCACTATGACCAGCCTAAGGCTTTAAATATTATATTTTGATGAGTTGGATGAGAGAGAAGAGGGGATAGAAGAGAAGCGGGCTACTGATTAACAGTCGGCGGTAGCACACGCCCTTAGACACTATATTAAAGCAAGTACAATAAGATGATGTAGGCGGGCTGTAAGACATTAAATATTATATTCTTGCTTACTTGAAAGAGAGAGAAGAGGAGAGAGAAGAGAAGCGGGCTACTAGTTAATAGCCGGCTGCAGCACGTGCTCCTAGGTACTTTGTGAGAGAGTGGGGTGGGCCATGTATCAACAAAATAGTGCATATTTATATCTAGCTATTGTACTTGTTGGCTATAAGCCTTGACTATATGTGACATGGCAACATCATATAGACAGCAGTTGGCTATATTATTAACCATGCTCTTAGAGAGGAAAGTGGGTCATGTTTCAACAAAGTAAGTACTCCCTCCGCTTCTTTCTAGTTTGCATATAAAATTTGGTCAAAGTCAAACTTTGTCAACTTTGACTAAGTTTATAGAAAACAAAATATCAAGATTCACAATATGAAATCAATATTGTTAGATGCGTCATGAAATTAATTTCCATACCATATAGTTTAGTATTATAGATGCTGATATTTTTTAAAACAAAGTTGGTCAGACTTTACAAAGTTTGACGTTGACCAAATCTTATATGCGGACTAAAAAAGAAACGGAATGAGTACATATTTATATGTGACTATTGTACTTGCGGGCGATAAGGTAGGCTATAAATGATGTGGCAAAATCATATAGCATACGAGTATATTATTAACCATGCTCAACACAAAACACCTTTTACTTTTCCTTAAAAAACACACATTTTACATCCATTAAAATAACACACCTTTTACCGATAAAGGATTTCCCACCGCTTTGTATTATAAAGCAAACATCCAATACATCCAGCTCGCTGGGGCCGCGTCATAGATAAGCCCAAAAGAAAACACAAGAAAATAAAAGAGAAATAAATGGCGACATCGGCAGATCAACGAAGAAAGGAAGACCGGCAACCGCTGCACCCTCCAACGAAGTACCACCACGCTCCCAGCATCTCGAAGCGCCGCACACCAAGCAACACCTTCAAGAAGGAATGCGATGACGTCGGCGCTGTTGCCCGAACGAGTTCTAGGGTTTTCCCCGTTACACGAGGGATGGTGGGGAAGGGATATACCCGACGCCCCTTACGAAGGTTCGATGGCGCCCGAGGTGCTTCGAGGTGCACCACCCCAACATCCGCCCACTAGCTTGTGCCACCACGGTTACCGGACAACCCACGCCGCCTGACTGGAGTTGCCAACACGAGGCGTGGAGCGGGCAAGGAGACCCCGGCCACGGGAGCGACCACAACTCGGCCGGGGGGGA